AGAGGGGACAGCGGAGCCCGGGACAGAAGGTTAGGGGGTGGTGATACAAGATGGGGGGAGCGCACAGTGCAGGGCAGCACATACAAGCGATTGGAAGGCTATACTTGCGGGCGGACCGCAAGTGGATAAACCACCGGGGTACAGGGGAGAAGAGGCTGTAGGGACGGGTCTAACACCCAGAGGGTGGCATTGGGACCAAGATTCAGATCAGTAATACAGCTTTATTTGAGACAAAATAAGCAACTAAACCTTGCAGAGCTGGCATAACCCCACTGCAAGAGTATGTTTTTGTTTGCCCAGAGTTCTTTGTTAATTATGAGTGCACCTGCACTTACGGTTTTCTATTAGTCCTCCTGCAAAGTACCACATGCAACTATTGAGCCTGCCAATGCAGTTTCCTATGATGGTGTGGCAACAATGCTGCACTGCTCCTGAATTCAGAGCAGAGTTGCCACTATCCTATAGGCTGCTTGCACTACAGAGGGATAAAAACATATCGCATGGCTATCGGCACTCTCAACCCTGATTCAAAAGTCTTGAACATGTCACTGAGCTCCTGGCCATACCTAGTCCTGCTCACTGCTTTCTGGATTGATAGTGCCGCCTCTTTTGCTGAAACCCTCCTACTTTGAGCTGCAGAAATCTGGGAGGGAGAGCCTGTGAGACACAAATATAGGAGGATCTGGCTCTCTGAGAAAGTAAAGGAAGTTTTTGGTTTACGTTACAAGGCTTTTACATTACATAGGAACTGGATTTCATTCTTGTTTAGACTGTCATACAGGAGCCTTTAGTTGCACTTTAAGGTACACATACTCTTCTGTACTGAAGCAGATACAATACAGCATATTTGTTGCTTGGTAATCAAACTCGAAAACAATGACGTTAAAACATAGTATAGTTTTGCTCTCTTAAATTAATGTATGCTCTTTATTTCCAAAACAAGCCCCCCAAAAAATGAACTTCCAAATTTATGATATTAGGTGAGAGACATGGAAATCCCAATCAGTTTGTTCCCGCACTGGAATCTTGCATGCTTTTGGTGTAGACTGGCTCCTCAGGATTAGGGCTAAGCATAAAGTGCATCTATTGCAGCGGATTAGTCCTTAGATATACAGTACAGTGGCTTGCAAATGTATTCACCCCCCTTGATATTTTTCCTATTTCCTTGCATTACCACCTGGATTTAAAATGGATTTTTATCATTTGATTTACACAACATGCCTACCACTTTGAAGATGCAAAATATTTTTTATTGTTATACAAACAAGAAATAAAGACAAAAAACACAGAAAATTTGAGCGTGCCCACCCCCAAAGTCAATACTTTGAATACTTTGTAGAGCCACCTTTTGCACCATTACAGCTGCAAGTCTATTGGGGTACGTCTCTATAAGCATGGCACATCTAGCCACTGGGATTTTTTCCCATTCTTAAGGCAAAACTGCTCCAGCTCCTTCAAGTTGGATGTGTTTTGCTGGTGTAATCTTTAAGTTATACCATAGATTCTCAATTGGATTGAGGTCTGGGCTTTGACTAGGCCATTCCAAAACATTTAAATGGTTTCCCCTTAAACCACTTAAGTGTTGATTTAGCTATATGCTTAGAGTCATTGTCCTCCTGGAAGGTGAACCTCCTTTCCAGTCTTAAATCTCTGGCAAAGTGAAATAGGTTTCTCTCAAGAGTTTCCCTGTATTTAGTGCCATCCATCATTCCTTCAATTCTAACCAGTTTGCCAGTCCCTGCCGATGAAAAACATCCCCATAGCATGATGCTGCCACCACCATACTTCACTGTTCACTGATGGTGTTCTTGGGGTAATGAGGGGTCTTATGTTTGCGCCAGACATAGCGTTTTCCTGGAAGGCCAAAAAGCTCCAATTTAGTCTCATCTGACTAGAGTGCCTTCCTCCATATGTTTGGGGAGTCTCCCACACGTGTCCTCGTATTTTTTTTTCTGGAAGCAATGGCCATAAAGGCCTGCTCTGAGGAATGCATGGCTTAAAGTGGTCCTATGGACAGATACTCCAATCTCAACTGTGAAGCTTTGCAGCTCCCTCAGAGTTATCTTTGGTCTCTTTGTTGCCTCTCTGATTAATGCCCTCCTTGCTTGGTCTGAGTTTTGTTGGGCGGCCCTCTCTTAGCAGATTTGTTGTGGTTCCATATTCTTTCCATTTCTTAATTATGGATTTAATGGTGCTCCGTGGGAAGTTTAGCGTTTCGGCTTTTTTAAAAAAAAAATTATAACCCAACCCTCATTTGTACTTCTTCACAACTTTGTCCTCCCTGACCTGTTTGGAGAGCTCCTTGGTCTTCATGGTGTCGTTTGAATGGTGGTGCACGTTGCCCAGTGGTGTTGCAGACTCTGGGTCCTTTCACATCAGGTGTATATATACTTAGACCATGTGACGCTTAGATTGCGCACAGGTGGTCTTTATTTAACTAATAATGTGACTTCTGAAGGTAATTGGTTGCACCAGATCTTATGTAGGGGCTTCATAGTAAAGGGGGTGAATACATATGCACGCACAGCTTTTCCGGTTTTTAGTATCATTTTTTTTCTTGATTTATAGTTATTTTCTTGATTTCACTTCACCATTTTGTGAAGATCCATTACATGTAATCCAAATAAAAATCAATTTTAATTACAAGTGATAATGCCACAAAATAGGGTTTTTCCCCCCTTTATTTTTACTTGGTGATCCTTCCAGTAACACATTTCCTGTCCTAGAGTGACAATGCTTACTCACTATACTGTATTTATAGAGAAGTGACACTGTAACTCTAGGCTGCTCTCCTGAATTAGACTACAAACACCTACCTATCTACTCTTCTCCATAGCATAGAAAAGAGGGGCTCCGTAATCCTCATAGATTGATTGAAACAATATAACCAAAAGAGTGCAGCACAGGAAGATATCAGCTGACAAGAGTTTTGGCAGGATCAACAGTTTTTTTTCTGCACTTATCAAGGTTTTGTTTTGTTTGTTTTAGGCTTAGCGTGTAAAACTTTAGTGTTGGGAAAGAAAGATAAGTGTTAAAAGGCCCACTTTGGGGGTTAAGGGCTAGGTTGGGAGTTCCCTAGATCTGAGCTGGCGTGTTTAAACGTCACGCCAGGACCGCCCACTCGCGCGGGGCAAACTGCCTAAATTTAAAAAACAGGCAGCGATGCCTGTTAACATACAAGTGATCTGCCAGCTATAGAGGCGACAGAGCACTTGTATAAGCTGCCGGTCCGTGTGTCGCTTGTATAAGCTGCTGGTCTGTGTGTCGCTTGTATAAGCTGCCGGTCCGTGTGTGATCTCTGCTTCATTAGCTTCTTGGTGGGTCCTAGGTGACATTAGGGTTCTTGGAGACCCCTGATGTCTCCATAAAGAGGACCTGTCATATCCCTTTGCTATCACATAGGGGGGGGGGGGTTTCTTAGCCCCCTATGTGATAGCAATAAAAAGTTAAGTGAAACAAAAAAAATAGGAAAAAAAAAAATCAACACTAAACTGATGAGCGGTAAAATTTTGGGTATTGTAGTTTTTTGTCATTTTGTGGGTGCGAGCAATTTTACAAAAAAATTGTCTTGATAATAAATGTTTTATAACAATGTTAAAAAAAACTTTTTTTAAGTGGTGATTAAATACCACCAAAAGAAAACTCCCCAAAAAAATTTATAAAATTAATTTCAGTACAGCGTTGCATGACGGAATAAATGTCAGTCAAAGTACCGCAGTGCTGAATACTGAAAAATGGCCTGGACAGGAAGGATTTGTAAACACTTGGTCAGCAAGTGGTTAACATATGGTGGCTGAAAACTCCTCTAGGCAAACAGCAAGAGGTGGGTTCACCAGAAGCATCCAAAGTGGAGACTAGTGACTTAGACTGGGGACTATGATCAGGACTAACAGAACCAGGACCCTTAGAGATTGCAGACTCCCCCTGAGCTGTTAGTGGAGCATGGGCTGGCAAGGTCTGCTGACACTTCCCTTTGTGCCTATGATCCACTATGTGCAGTGAAAGATAACCCATAAGTAGTATTTGCAACCGCTACAGCCAAGCAGAAAGGGTTATGCAGCTCATTGCACACATGTACAATGAAGATGGCGCTCGCATGTGCAGTGAGTCTACCTGAGGTGAAGCAGTCTACGGTCAGAGTATACAGGCAGAAAAGGAGAAATGTCAAATGCGATGCAAGTACCAGTCTCTCTCGTCGCTGGTTGCATCGGGACCTGAGCAGTAACAGCACCCTGGGTTCTCATTTAAATGGCATAAACCCTGACATACCACAGAGGAATAACCCCTAAGGGGTCTTCAGGGACAGGGTTCCACTGGCAGCTGGACCATGGCCCTGGACCTGTAGAAACACCCTGTGGCTAACAAAGCATTGCACTACATGCCAAGGTGAGCGCCTAACACAGCACCCAGTGCCCATAGCAACTTAAAAGGCCAGCTCCACATCTTCCTGGCTACAGTCCCCCAAGGCTTAGCCAAGGAGCCATCAGATCAAAAAAAGCTGCAAAGGGGAAGCCCCAGTGGCTATGTAGCAGCTCGGAATCTTGCTAGAAGAGTCTCGATGGAAAAAAAAAAAAAATGAGAAAGAAAAGTAGACATCCGCTCACAGGACACTAGCAAAAAAGCTAAGGCTTGCTGAGAGTGGGAGGGGTTATATTAGAGCGATCCTTACAGCTTTGTTTCCCAGTGTCCAATCACAGAAGGCTGCTGCATAACCTATGGTCTGAGACTCTGACCCTGTGTGCTGTAATCTACAATTAAGAAAAAAAAATTCTATGTCTGTCAGTTTCTTGCATTTTACCATGCATTCCATATACTGCTAAGATTTCTAGTTCCACAGGTTACCAGGCTATTTTTAAATGGTAGTGATGACCAGTCTAGCCAGTGCTAAACAACTATCCTCACATGCACTGTGAATGATGTTGTGCTTCAGCATATTTTAGGTAATTATAGTAATTAATAAACATTGTAAAAAAAAAAAAAGCAAAAAAAAAAAAGCTTACCGGTTGGTGCATTTTTTCAGGCAGCTGAACATGTAACACGGCCTCAGGCCGCCGCCAGGTCGCGTAATTCCCTCCAGGCTGTGTCCGTGAAAAGAGATCATGCCTGCTTTTGGCTCTTCCCAGTTAAACAAGAAAGTCGATGGGCCTGGATTCCCAGCATCAGGTGTAGTGCCAGCCAGCCTGCTGAACTGCTTCATCAGGTTCTTTGTAATTTCTGTGCGGACACAAAACAAAAGATGGCATTCATGAGAACCTGGGCTAATCGTTACAGGTTCGTAGTTATCTGTGCGTTCCAGATGGAGAGTCAGGATGTGTGAACAATTATCTGTATGCCAAGCAGGTAAAAACAATATGAAGAATAAAGTTCTGTCTATTAAAGGGCAATACAAGCTTACTGGATGTTATTTTCTTTAACAATACAGAAGTGCCAAAGCTCTCACACTGACATAGGTTAAAACAAATGAAAGTAGAACAAGAAAGAGGGTAAGTTACATGCTATGGATCAATTTATATCTATAGCTTTGCAGCTCCATATGGCCATTCTGCCTTACTTAGGCTTCATTCACAAGGCAACATTAGATCAATTTATATCTATAGCTTTGCAGATCCATATGGCCATTCTGCCTTACTTAGGCTTCACTCACAAGGCAACATTAGATCAATTTATATCTATAGCTTTGCAGATCCATATGGCCATTCTGCCTTACTTAGACTTAATCCACCTGGCAACATTAGATATGGTAAATCTATAGTCATTCCAAATTAACAATGAAACTAACATTCCTATGGCAGGTTACTGGTCAATGAGCATTTACAGAGGCTTTTATCCCTTTATATTTACCTGTTGATGCTGCCAGTAAACACATTTCCTGTGCTAGGGTGACACTCACTATAGTGTATGTCACCCTAGGCTGCTTTCATGATTTGGATTGCAAACACCTCCCAATCTCTTCTTATTCATTAATAATGAGACCTGTAGTCCTCATAGATTGATGGGAACAAATCGAATTGAAAAAGTGCAGCACAGGCAGAAAGTACAGGAGGTTATTGGCCGACAAGATTTCTGGCAGGATCAACAGGTCATTGTGCACATATGCATAATAAGGTGCCTGAGTTTCAGGGTTCCTGGGTTGTCTAAAGACCTTAAGAAGACCCCCATCTCCAGACCATTCGTTTTAACAAAAGCCCTACCATAAGATTATATATGCATTTAACATATTTGATGCATGTTATTTACCTGTAGACACCTCCCTTATGTAGACATCCAAACGCCCCAAGGCTGCTGTTGGTGCTGCCATCTTTGGGTGTGATGTCAGCAGCCCCAGCGGACTCAGACCTGTCACTCAAGTACCACTCTACAGTATTCCCCTTTACTCCTCCCCAGCAGCTACAGAAAATGTAATGTAGGAGGTAAAGAGAGGGGCAGAGTAGCTGGGTCAGCACAACCAGTAATTAGACACTCCCAGAAGAGGAAAAGGCTATGATATGCAAGTAGGGAGGGGCTGTGAGAATTGACTCTTTTGAAGTGGTCAGATTTGCTAGCAAGGTGAGAAGCGCATTGCAAATCAATAGAAAAAAAAAAAGTAATTTATGGAAAGCAAAAACGCTGTAGGTAAGCATTTGGAACGCTTGATTTTTCTTTTCACTACATTTTTCTCAAGTTGTTGACAGGGTCTATTTAAGGTGCCTAAACTTTAAAACAAAACTCAAGGGATAAAGTGATAAAACACACAGATGGAATACATGCATGGAAATAGTTTTACCTTGTAAAGGATTTGTATTTCTGTCCTTTCGGTTCTGAGATTTACACATCCACCCAGACAACCATAAATTACCCTGTAGAAGATCCGATTTTTCTCTAAATTATAAAAGAAGAACTCCAAGAAAAAAAAGTATTAACCCTTGCAGTGGGGCTACCCCAGCACTGCAAGGTTTAAGTGCTTGTTTGTGTCTAGGTGCTAAATAACAAAAGTTATACTCACCAGACCATCTGAGCCGGCTTCTTTTTAGACCAGCGTCTAGAACGTCTCTCCCCCTCTGCTGCAGCGGTCTAAGGATCCTGGTGTCATCACACTCTATACACTGTGCATAGACTGAGTATAGATGGGAGGACACCGAGGAGCATTGCATCTGTTATACTCGCCAGACCATCTGAGCCGGCTTGTACTTAGACCAATGTCTCTCCCCCTCTGCTGTAGCGCTCTAAGGATCCTGGTGTCATCATGATCTATAGACTGATTATAGATGCGAGGATCATTGCAACTGTTATACTCACCAGACCATCTGAGTTGGCTTGTACTTAGACCAATGTCTCTTCCACTCTGCTGCAGTGGTCTAAGGATCCTGGTGTCATCACACTCAATACACTGTGCATAGACTATGTAAAGATGTAAGGACGCCAAGGAGCAAACCATCTGTGCAGCGGGGAGGAGACACACTTCAGTGGTCACAGAAGAAGGGAGCCGGCTCAGATGGTCTGATGAGTATAAAGAGCACTTAACCCTTGCAGTGTGGGGGTAGCCCCATTGCAAGAGTTAATAACATTTTTTCCTGGAGTTCTCTTTTTCAATAATAATTTGTGTTCAGAGTCTATGTAACCTGAATAAATTGTAGTATCTCAGTATATGAAATACTGACCTGAAGTGTACCATGGTCTGCATGGACAGTATGCCAATAAGGGGACATACTCTGTGGGTAAATGATAGAAAAAAAACGGAAGGGAGGGAGGGTATGCAGGAAAATAATCGTCTACAGGTAAGTTTAGGAATAGGGGAGGAAGATATACAGGGTTATTCACAAAAGGGTGAAGAGTTTGGAGAAGGCAGGAGAACAGGTGAACAATCTAGGACAACATAGCTGAACTGGAAAGTGAGTTGAATTGGAGAATTTTCCCAAATCAGCAATGTTGTCCTAGATTGTTCACTTCTCTTGCCTTCTCGAAACACTTCACCCTTTTGTGAATAACCCTGACAGTGTCTGAGAAAAGAGACTTCTCCCACAAATAGAGGCTAATAAATCAGCCTTCAAACCTATTAATGAATAGAGAGCTGCATTAATTTGTGACTTTTATATCTGCCTGGAGTTCAGCTTTAAATTAGAGGCATCCCTTGCAAGAGTTTAATTTATTTCGGCTAGATGCCTTTTCTTTAGGGATACAAGGATACAAATGAGGAAGTTTTCCTATTACAACAGTGAGACTACTGAGCAGTAATGGAGGTGGATCATGCTATTAGTTGGAGAAAGATCATGGTATGAAACCAGCAGTTTATTCAGAACAGAAGCCGGTAAAGCTCTGCAATTACATTTGCTAAAATTTTTCTGACAAAATTGTATGAAATTATTGTAGGAGCGGAACTAAATACATTTCTCTCCTTTGAAAAGCGTACCCATCTTCTTTGAAGTGCGACCCATAGATTTGACAAAATCTGGTCTTGTTGACTAGATATTATGTGTCTAATACCTAATCTAGAGAAGGCCCTGTGCACCCCCTGCGTGTTTGTGGCTCCTCTGTTATGTACATCGTATGGTTCCTGTAACTACGCCAACTTGCTGACTGTTGTATCTATGTTCTTCTATACTTTGCTACTTTATCTCTTTTGTATTGACCAATGTGTCCTGCGTGACAATAATGTCTCTTTTTTGTTGTTGTTTCTTTTGGTATAAAAATGAGCAAAACCTTTGAGAATAAAACCAGATCTAAAAAAGATAATTGTATGAAATTTAAAATTGTGTATAATTCACCAGTAGGGGATTGTTTTTAACCATGACTAAAACTGGCCTTAGATTTTGGAAAGAACGTTCGTACGGAAGATCTTTTGTTCTACTTTCTATTCATTGATTTGGTTGAATTATTATTATTATTATTATTATTATACAAGATTTATATATAGCGCCAACAGTTTGCGCAGCGCTTTACAATATAAGGAAGACATTACAATCACAATACAATTCAAGACAAGATGGTAAGGAGGGCCCTGTCTGTGAGGACTTACAATCTAAAATTGATGATCGATTTCAACCATAGTGATGAAAAAACTCGAAGGTGCGCGATGGAAAATTCTTCTTGAACGAACAAAATTCTAAAAGTGATTGTAGTGTTTGTTCGGGATGTTAATATCAAATAAAATTTCAATCAACATTATCGGGTGGTAAAGAAAGATCTCTCTTACGAACGTTTGTTCGGATGCTTAACTTTATAAGAGTCTTATTCCAGACACACGTCAATGTTCTATTTCCATATATGCCCTTTAAAAACCAGCAAACCTAGAGATGTCATGAATTCCACATTTATAACTCTAAACATGCTCACGTTTTTTTTTCGCAATTTTAGATTTCATTTTTCGGTCATATTCAACAACTCTCTCACTTCTCCAAGAGAATCTGCAAGCAGAAAAAGAAACAGATCAAGAAGACAAACAGAAAGGCACAAAAATCAAGGTCATGGTGTGAATGAAAGAAATATCTAAGGAGAGAAAAAACAGTCAGTCATTCAGCTTCACAAAGCTGTTTATAGATGGGCAGATATCTGCCAGGAAAAAAAAAGGTGGAATTTGACATTAAAGTGACACTAAACTTAGGAGGTCAATCTTAAAAATACATTCAAGTAACTTAACTATTAACAAAAATATATCTTATTTGTATATCACTCGGCTGTAGATCCTCAAATCATCTCTGAAATGGTGCGGACACTGTCCTCCTTTCTGGAAGGTGGCTACTTTTGTTCCCCATGGCACCTGTGTGTGTTGTAAGGTAGTCACCGCTCCAAGCTCACTCCTGTGATGGACTACAATCTTATTTTTTGTTTACTAATTGGTTTTGAGATTGTAGTCCATCACAGGAGTGAGCTTGGAGCGGTGACTACCTTACAACACACACAGGTGCCATGGGGAACAAAAGTAGCCACCCTCCAGAAGGAAGGACAGTGTCAGCACCAATTCAGAGATGACTGAAGGATCTACAGCCGCGCGATACACAAATAAGATACATTTCTGTTAATACTTAAAAGGTACTTGAATGCATTTTTAAGATTTTACTCCTGAGTTTGTCATTTTAAGGGTCAGGAAATGATGCAAATCAAGAAGCACAATCAACAAGCATTTTAGTAGTAGATAAAGATGCCAGGTACACCAGAGATGAAAACATAACTACCTGGCCCGTTGCTCATTCTGTTTCTGCTGAGTTTCTTCCATACATGTCCTCATTGTTTCATACCACTTACTGAATTCAAACACTGGTTGGGACCCTGACATTAAAATAAGAAGACATATAGGTATTCAGAGCAAAGTAAGGACCTCTACAAAAGACAGAATAGCTAGTCAAAAAACAATGGAGACTATGTCAGCACAGGGATCCATCCTTATTTCTCTCATCTTAGGATATAAAGAAAGTTTTGGGGGGTAAAACCAACCAAAAGGCACCTCCAATATTTCTTTCAGGTATAAGTTCAGTATGACCACACATACAGAACGTATGACTGGAATTAACTACAAATTGTCGGGACCTTCACAGGCATAAGACTGAAGCTGCAAACCCAACTGCCTCATTGTAATCCATCACCGTACATGAACTTTCTGGGACACTGTGAATGAAGCCTTTAGGACGAGGAAGATTTTGGGCAGGGTAGTGTAGAAGACACAACTGTACTCTGAGATTTTAGTCCAAGCCTCTGCTAAAACAACACTGATTTGTGGGCAATTACCATTACTTAACAGACCAAATATTACTTGGAGAGACTTATTAACTTACAATTGGCTGTCAGCATTTCAAAGTCTCCCTGCTTGTATTCCAATAAGGTTCCTTCTATGGAATCTTACTGATGCCCCATCCCTGCTTTGATGAGACCTCACTGGCTGAATGCAAGAAATTATTTACCGCAGTGATATCAGTAGCTCAGCCATGGTATAAGATCGCTGCAATTCTTACTAGGGACTGATATATCGGCCGCCGAAAATGGCACTTTTGGCTAAATGCCGAAAGTGCCATTTTTCTGCCGATACAGCGGCGCATCCGTGTATTTGCTCCCCACCGCTGGGCGCTGCTCTGTGTCCCAGTGGGGAAGAGAGACACTGTGACAGCCGGCCCAGCGCTGCGGGAGGAGAGCGCTGAGAGTGGCTGGCGTCTCTCCTCCCACATCGCTCAGACTCCTATTACAGTCTGGCAGAGCGGTGTGTGGGCGGAGACAGCCCGCGCTGTCACAGGAGGCTGGGCTTTCCTCTCTACACCGCTCAATCAGCCTCCTGTGACAGCATGATACCTCCTTTGTTTTTGGGGAGGGTGGTGACACAATATCGAATTCGAGGAGGGGCGTAGGACCACAAAAAGGCTGTGAACATTTGACGCAGAAGGCGGAATAAAAGAGGTGGGATACGAATCGGAAGCGCCTGAAATAAGTAGAGGACTTTGGGTAGGATAGTCATCTTGAGAGCATTGCAGCGGCCGAACCAGGAGAGTGAAAGTGAGTGCCAGGACAAAAGGTCCTGTTTGATCTTCTGAATCAGAGGGGCAAAGATGGGGCGGGCATCCCACCCCTGCCCCCAGGGGGGACAAGAGGGAGGCATATCCACCCCGTGGCCCAGGGGAGGGCGACCGGGCGTCAGCGAGAGACCAACCACACCAACCGGTCAGTATCCGGGGAACCGAGGGAGAGTAGTGAGACCCGGTAGGTATGGTGATCAGGTGGAGGTCCTAGCGTCCTATCCCCTCCAGGGGCCGCCAACGGCCACGGCTGGGGGGGAGGGGAGGAAGGAGCAGCCATCTCTACCCCCGACACCAAACAGCCACAGCAGAGGTAGTGGGAGCTGATCCTGCTGTACGACATTCTAAACATGGCATAAAAGGATAAACAAGTAAAGCAGAACAGAGCAGGAGCCGAGGCACATGGCCACAAAGTCAGGTCAAGGAAGGATACCAGGGTGAATTCAAAGTTCGTGGCTCGCCGGGGTATGCGGCATCAGATCCCTTCTGGAGGGCCGGGGCCCACTCCTGGCTCGGCGGGGGGTCCGCGGGGGAAGAGGCGCCGTCTCCGAGGATTCATCAGGAAACTCCAGCCAATTAGGGACATCCACAGAGTCCACATTCAGAAAGCGGAACAAGGCCGGTAGTTGGTCAGGTGAATGCAGCTGGAACGTAGAATCGTCTCGCCGGACTATGAGGTGGAACGGGTGTCCCCAGCGATATGTGGCTGAGGCAGAGCGGATGAGGTCCAACAGGGGACGTACCAGGCGTCGCATACGTAGGGTATGACGGGAGAGATCCGGCATGATACGAACGGTGGCTCCATCGAAGTCAGAGGGGCCCTGTCGCCAGGCCTGTCTAATAATTTCCTCCTTCACAGCAAAAAAGTGCACTCTGCAAAGAACATGTCTGGGCGCGGAGGGCGTGCGCCAGTGACCCTGTGGACCCGGTCCAGCTCTAAGGCCGCATCGTGGGGTTTACCCAGTAGGGTGTTCAGAATGGCTGCCACAGTGTCCCTGAGGTGAATGCCCGTTGTAGCCTCTGGGATGCCGCGCAGGCGGAGGTTGTTTCTGCGATTCCGGTTTTCGGAATCGTCCAGACGGAGGTGCATGGATAGCAGGCAGGAGTTAGTCAGCCTGGCATCCTCTTCCAGTGCTTCCATTCTAGCTGATAGGGCGGTGGTGGCCGTCTCCACTGAAGTGACTCGGTCGTCCACCTCAGTGATACGGTGAGTGAGGTCGTGCAGTTCCTTTTTCAGGGCCGCGACTATGGAGGCTGCCATATTATAGAGCTCTCCCAAAACGTGTCCTCACGGCTCCATGTCTAGGCCACGCCCCCATGGGAAGTGACCTACATCACTTCCTGTTCATTCATAACTTTAGAAGATTGTGTGTTTACTATCACCACAACCATGAATGAACAGGAACACTCAGTAAGGGGGATTCCTGTTCATTCATAACAGGGGCTGCAGAAAAAGAGATAAAAAGGACTTTGTGTCCTCAATCTCTTTTTCTATTTTAAAAAAGGGAAATATCAGGGGTCTGTTTAGACCCCTAATATTTCCCCGAAGCCCCTAAAAGTAAAAAATAAAAATATTTAATAAAAATAAAAAATGTATAAAAAATAAACACATTGAAAAAAATAAAAAACATTTTCGGTTTCGGCCTGACAATTGTTTTTATTTTGGTTTTGAAAATTTCCATTTCGGTGCACCTCCAATTCTTATACTTAGAAATTACACCAACTGGAGCCCAACAACTGATGGAAGGCCATGTATTTCTGTGTTCAGAAGCTACAACATTTATACCATTCAGATTTTTCCAGTGAATTGCCCAACAAAACGTTGTGACTTCTTTACTCCTTATACTACTTAGCATTGAGCACTGGTTGGGCTCACCATTGTATTGCAAAACATAGGAGGCTGAATATCTGTGGCTATGTAGACTGAGTTTGGAAAAGGTCATGTGACACTGCCGAAGGTACAATTACTGTTAAACAATGTTCTTACCATATATTTATTTTATATAAAATGTATGTCCTGCAACATGTATTTCTTGAATACCTTTCCCTGATCCCTCATTGTGGTGTAGCTCCGGTGTACAATGTCTTGGCTCCTGTGCACAATGTCGTCATATGCATTGAAGGAGTTAATTTCAATATTATTCATGGTACAGTGCTTTGTTTACATGTAACTATTGTGTCTAGTATCTTTTTACATAGCTGCACCTTTCACACATATTATTTGGTTACATTGTTTCACCATGCATGAATTTTGTTATTTTAATTATCACACAGATTTAGGCTGTGAGCCACTTCATCACATTGCCAGAACAGGGGTGGGCAAGCCAGTATTTAAAGGGGACTTGGACCGTGGAAGCTGTGCTCAAATAGAGACAAGCAGAGGACAAAGGTCTAGACATTAGTATTGTTTATAGGCTCACAGCAGTTGATCATTTTCCCATTACTGACATACCATGCCTTGTTCTGCACTTTGTCTTTTTGTGTGGCAGAGGCATTTTGGTAGCGGCAGGGTTTTGCTTCCCCTGATGACCTGTGATCTGATGACTGTGGAGGAATATTCAAGAAGCAGCAAGAGGAGGGCAGAAAACACAGATTCAAAGAATGAATGAAGGAAATCACTGCATTGCAACATTTCACCAGTGGTCAGCACCGTAGTGACCACCAAATCTCACTCCAGATCTAGAGGCACAGTGCCTTAGATCAGCGGTCGCCAACCGGTGGTCCGCGAGAAAATTTTGGTGGGCCCGGGCCCCCCTGGTGCCGTGCAGGCTGGGCCGTCATTAAAGCGGCACGGGGGCTCCGGGGCTGCCTCAAGCAGCGGCTGTCACAAGGAATGCGCAGCTCTCAGTACAGTGCGGGCTCTGCAGGAGGCGGGGCATCTCGTCAGTACCCAGAGTGAGCAGGCTGTGGGACATAGAAAAAGTGGGGAGAAGCCAGGTAATAGTGTGGGGGATGGGGAGGCACTGCTAAAGTTAGGGGGGGTGTTTCCCCCGGGCGCAGTCGGCAGGGCCAGTGGCAGATTCGATAGGGGGGTAAACAATTAATATTATCAATCACTGGCCTGGGGAGGGCGGTACCGCTCCCTCCCTCCACCAGCACTGCCACTCTTGCAGGCACACCCGCACCTATGTATGTGTATATATATATATATATATTCTCATATTTGTTTCCTCATATATAAATGTGTGTGTATTACATATTACACACACACACACACACACACATACCGTGTTTCCCCGCATATAAGACACTGTCTTATATTTTTTTTGCCCCACAAAAACACTAGGTCTTATTTTCAGGGGAATGTCTTTTTTTTTTTAATGTGCAACAAAATGTACAACAATCTAAAGTTATCTGGTATCACTCCGCCTGTCACAGTACCGGACAGCTGTACCAGCAGTGCGGACATCAGACAGTGGACAGCGCGGTAAAGTACGGTACACATTACAGTACCTATTACATACAGCAGTTGGTGAAGTATGGTACTGGAGTGCTCCCTGTCACTGCGCCGGCCGGAGGGAGTCCCCGGTCATCCCCTAATACAGTATGTCCCTGCAGGCTGATACCATCTCTCCTGCTCTTCAAGTTCCCCCTCACATGCTACCACCAAACTAGGTCTTACATTCGGGGTAGGTCTTATTTTCGGGGAAACAGGGTGTGTGTGTGTGTGTGTGTGTGTGTATGGTGTGTGTGTGTGTGGTGTGTGTGTGTATATATTTTAAAAAGTCATATTAGTGGTCCTCAGGATTTAAAATTATGAATTTAGTGGTCCATGAGGTCTGAAAGGTTGGCGACAGCTGCCTTAGATGATCTCACACTGTATGTCTGTGAAGGTTCTCATTCATCCAGGTCCTGGTATATCTGTAAAAAATAAGTCGAGGCAACTGGACTTGCTGTATTTTTCTTGAAGACGTTTCACTGGTCATCCAACCGGCTTTCTCAATTCAGAATGACTTGTACAAAAAATTCTCTGGGAATAAATATGGCGAATATTGCTCCAATCCACATAATCTGTTAGTCACAATACAATGCTGTTGTAACAGCTCTCTCTGGGCAGGTTAATAACACCTCTTAGGCTCCAATTATGCAAATACAATCAACACTAGGTAGTGACTAACAGATTATGTGGATTGGAGCAACATTCACCATATCTATTCCCAGATAGTTTTTTGCACAAATCATTCTGACTTGAGAAAGCTGAATGGATGACCAGTGAAACATCTTCAAGAAAAATACAGCAAGTCCAGTTGCCTTGACTTATTTTTTACAAATATTTCACACTGTAGATGTACAGCTATGAGGCACAATGGACAGGAGTACATAGTAAACTGCTATTTTCCAGGGGGAATTCAAGACAAAGGTAGATTTTTTAGGCACGATTAGCATTTTTCCCTATAAGATAGAAAGTCTTAACCTTTTGAGTTTAGGTCACTGTGTATACTTCAGCCATGTAAGAAGGCTTCCACTGTAACATAACTGTCTGTGTGGTTGTTACATGCTCTTAAATGAGTTAAAGTGCAACTAAACAGCGCTATATATGCCTCCCCCCCTCAGCGATGCAAGCTCCCTTGCTGGTACTTCCATCACCTGGTCTTTTTCCAGGTTCGGCGTTTTGGCCATCTACACTGGCCAGCCTGTGATAATGCAACCTGCGCATGCAAACAGGAGTTTACTTATCCTTGCAGCAAGGCATGCAGAGAATATACGCTGCCCATGTGCAGCTCAGTGTCAATCCAGAAGAAACACTGCTAGCAGGCAGGTAAACACTTTCTGCAACAACAACAAAAAGCCTGCCTGCCAGCAATGTTTCATTTGAAAGCTATAGTTCCACTTAAAGTAAATTTGATTTCAACATCCTGGAGGATTTCCCATAAGCTGCTCATTTAGTGGAATACTGATGAGATCAGCAGGCTGAATCCATGCAATGATGTGCCATACTGAGATCAGAAAATGATACCATTGTCGATACCAACACAACGGTGGTATAAGTATTGCTTCAACCCTCCTAAATTCTGATGCGTCTGACAAATGAAAGAAGAAACCCCTAAAAGTAAAGATTCCGGGAATTATCATGCTGCATAAATAAATGGGAGAACTCCCAGCTCCGATTGATGTTTGGTTGGTGTCACTTTTCTATTTAACCCCTTCGTGACTGACGACGTACAGTGTACGTCGCCAGCATCGGGGCTGTTTAAACAGACTCCCGGTGACTTTTGCCGCCGGGACTCCGTTTAAACTTGTAGAGCCGACTGTCGGCTTTACAACAGAATACCTGAACGGTACCAAGCAATTGTAGCAGTTCTGAGTTAGGGCCAGTGCACACTGTTTGCTGCATTGGCACAAGCAAGTTAACATGTGTTGCATTAAGAGCCCGTTCACACCAGGGCGGGTGCGGATCAGCGCGGTTACCACGCTGATCTCGCATGGGAGATTTTGGGAGTTTTTAATTGCATTTCAGCGCTGAAATTAAATTAAAAACGCCCAAAACCGCACTGATCAGCGTGGTTCCATTGAAACCTGTATGGAAACCGCACTGATCAGTGTGGTTCCATTGAAACCTGTATGGAAACTGCAATGATCAGCGTGGCAAAAATAGTGCAGGGAGCAGTTCGGGAGGGGGGCGGTTCGGATCGTGTGGTCACATGAACGGTCCCCATAGCAATGCATGGGATCGTTCATGTCAGCGGAACCGCCCCGGTGTTAAAGGTGTCTAAGGCAGTCCATTCATTTCAACATGCTGCCTAACACACCAAAAAAGGTGCATGCAGCATTTTCAGCAACACAGTTAGTGCTTTACCGCGTGTTACCGCAGCCCAATGGTGTGAAAGGGACCGTAGGAAAGATCAATGATGCTTTAAAACTTTGGTAGGTACATTTAGCCTTAAAGAAGGCATATATTAAACATTAACCTTTCAAGATTAACATTTGCAGTGCGGCTATCCCCACACTACAAGGGTTAAGTGTTCATTTTGGTCTACAATAAAGAAGATATACTCACCTGATCCTCGGTCCCGTGGTGGTGACTGCTCACCTCTCTCCTCCTCCACACTGTCAGTGGAATGTGACTTGGTGTCCTCACGTCCAATGCAAGTGAATGGACGTGATGACGTCATGGGTCCCTAAACCCCCGGAGCCCAGGGTAGAAGAGGCTGTGGGGATCGGTCTAGCAGTCCGGTGGGACAGAGGATCAGGTAAGTATATCTTTTTTTTATTTCAGACCCTAGACTAAAACAAGCAGCGTCCCCCCCACACTGCAAGGGTTAATTTTTAATGTGCCCAGAATTATTCTTGAAAAAAATAGTGCGTTTCCCATATGATTGAATCACCGCAGTGATTAGTCAAAACAGACCATAACATAATTGGGATGGTATTGCCTACAGCAAGCACTCATGCACAATGACAGCTGGAATGTGATTGGATATTGTGGGTAACACCCCCTCATTTCTCTACCTCCCATCTACAAAATTAGCCTGTAAATGTCATATAACACGCACACACACCTTACCTTCAGCTTCATTTCTATTTTTAGCAATTTCTGAGATCTGCCTGTAAAACAATGACAATGTATTATGAATTTTTATGGATCATGGAAAAGTGAAACAAACATGAGGATATCACGTCTACTGTAGGGCCCATTCACACCAATTGCGGTACGTTCCAGAGCGGCAGCTGGTGGAACGCACAGCAACCGCTCACAAAACGTCCCCTTTCGTTCTGGGGCGGGAGGGGGTGTGGCGGTGCATTGAAGTCAATCGCACCGCAGCCACGCCCCCCGCGCTTTTGGGCGTGTGGCAAAACATTGCCTGCGTTCCGGTCCACTGCAAACGCAAAAACTGCTGCATGCTCTACAGCTGCCGCTCTGGAGCGCACCGTTATTGGTGTGAAGAGGCCCTTAGCCCTCATTCACACGAGAAAAAGGCCGGCACATAGAGCTAAGTGCTGTGTGTGCGGCCGTATCTGGCAGCTCCCGGGAAGGAAAGGTGCTGCGTGTGATTAGTACGCAGCCCCTGTCCTTCTCTATGGGCGTACATGGCCATGCGCCGCCCTACGCTCACCCATCCTGCATGTCCGTGCGGGTGAGCGTACTCATACGCTGACAGGGTGGACCCTGACTGTGTCCGAGCCAGGACACCCACACGGACCTGCAGTTAAGGTGAGCGTAGGGCAGCGTATGGCCATGTACGCCCATAGAGAAGGACAGGGGCTGCGTACTAATCACACACAGCACCTGTCCTTCCCGGGAGCTGCCCGATACGGCAAAAAAAAAAAAATTTAACGTACCACATCTGATCCGGACATGGTGTGAATGGGCCCTGAACATGATCTGGACATGGTGTGAACAAGCCCTAAAGGAATACCAGTAATCAGTGGGTGGCTAACATCAACCATAGTTAGTCAAGTTACACAAAAAAAAGACCATGTTAAACCAAAAACAAATAAAATTATAAAGTGAAAAAAAAAAAATGTATAATAGTGTGAATTAATTTCCTATACCAGAAAAAAATCCTTCCTAATCCTCCCACAGGTAAATTGGATATTGGATAAATGAGAACCTTCACAGACATGTAGGCTGTATGGTTGCTACTTGCTTTGAATCAACTGAAAGAAAATAGCTAGTAGATACTAGGGATGGTCCGAGTGTTCGATTCGAACATCGGCCGTTCGAGCGTTCGCCGAATGCCGAACTTTATGGGACGTTCGCGGTTTGTTCGACCGCAGACGTTCCATAACGCAAAATGCCTTCCGAAGCTCTAATTGGTTCAAGTCTTGCACCTGACCACAGGTAAGGTGCATGACTTCACCCAATCATGGCTCAGTATTGAATTAGAGCCCTGATTGGGCAAAGTCATGATGACCCTGCCCAATCATGGCTCGCCTATCAGATGTCAGCAAACTACACAAATTGGGCGGAGCTAGCTGTCACTGCTAGCTCCGCCCAATTGTGTAGGTTTTGCCGGCATCTGTCAAAATGCCATTAGTCGGGGGGAGCGGACAGGTTTTTAAATGTCAAATTATTTTTTATTTAGTCATCGTCGATTGACCATGGATTACGTCGGTGGATCCATTTTTTGGGGTTTTTTGTTTTTTTTCCAAATAAAAGGATTTTATCAAAACTCTGGACTTTCTTCAACCCTTTTGTGAATGGGTGGGGGTACAAGTACCCCTTACTCATTCACAAGGGAGGTGGGCGGCATCTGGGTGAGCCCAGACCCCCACAACCACCGGGTCAGGGTTGTGGGGACGAGGCCCGTGTCCCCATCGACTCGGGGGCACCCGAGAGGGGGAGGGGGGGCGCTCGCTCATCCCCCCCTTTACGGCCTTGCCAGGCCTATGCTTGGATCAAGGGTCTGGTATGGAATTTTAGGGGGGACCCCATGTTTTTTTCATCCCCATTTTTGGGGGTGGGGTTCCTCCTTAAAATTCCTACCAGACCTTAAGGGCCTGCTATGACTTTAAGGGGGAACCCCACACACTTTTTTACATGGGGTCCCTCCTGAATATTCCTACAAGACCTTAAGGGCCTGGTATGACTTTTAAGGGGAACCCTATGCAGTTTTTAAAAAAAATATTTCTCCCTCCTAACATTCCTACCAGACCTAAGGGGCCTGGTGTGGTTTGGGAGGGGGAACTGCACACTTTAAAAGGAGAACTATGGGGTTAAGTCTTTTCCCCATAGTTCTCCTTAGGGTAACGGGAGGACACAAACTAGCTGTAGCTCGCTGTATACTGAGACGCCGCAGTATACCGCGAGCAGCTGCTCGCGGTATACTGAGGGACGCATGAACAGTCCCCATAGCAATGTATAGGATCCGCGCGGCTGAACCTCCCTGGTGTGAACGGGGCCTTACATCATGCAATAAAAAAATAAAGAAAAAGCAATAGGAAACAATTCAGGTTGCAGTTTGGGTTGAATAAGAAACTAAAACAGCAAAACACAGTTGTGATATCATTAGATAAAAAATAAATAAACAAAAAGCAAAACTGATGTGTATATGGCATAACGAAGTGCAATTTTGTAAAATAACTGCCAGAGTTTTATGATAAACTTTACCATTCCGTGAAATCATTGAGGACAAATAAGAGCTTAAGCACAACAATTATGATTGCCGCTGCTTGAATGTCATACGGGATACACCGCGATCGTTTCTTCACAGGATCATATGTCAGAGTAGTCACATCATCCAGCCCGGTCTTCTTGGCCACCCGGTAGGTCCAGTTGTGCAACTCATCTGCAAGAGTCAAAACACAGAAGTGTCAATTTTATGAGAATGACCATCTTACAGTAAAATGAGGTCATACACACAAGCTACAGTCACCTAGTATGAAGATAAAACTTGTGTTTCTGGAACAGTTACAAGAGAAGAAGTCATACAGCGTTTCTTCCTTTCATTTCTCTTCTTCTCTATGGCCTTCCTGTTACCCCTTCCTTCTCTATCTCTCTGTGTTTCATGGACCGATGCTTGTTATATCATTTGGACTTACCCACCTATCAAACGTGGTAGGGGGCTCACTATTTGAATTAATTCCTGTATTGTAATAAGTGTTAATGATGGAAAGCCTGGGTTATCCGGTCTTGGTAGTTTGCCTGCTTGAGCACATCTTCATTCAAGTTGAGGACCAGTCACAGGGCAGCAGTCTGCCTGGTGCTGACTGGCGCTATCATTCTCTACAGACAGACTCCTTTCCCAAGCTTGCACGTGCACCAAATATGACTGCAGGGCAGAAAAGTCATGTTTGCAAATGTTGGGCCAAGCCTACTCATCTCATCAGATAACATTAGTCTGATAGAATGGTGTATGTACCAATTATGATTGCTTTCTGTAATGCAAATAGTAAACAGCAATATTCAGGGTCTTGTATGGCTGTCCAGCACCTTGTAGGAGCCATTACTGATAGTTCTCTCAAATGCCAGACACAAGGTCTGCACATTGTACAATGCAAACATCTATAGTAGGGGTAAGCAAACCCCGGCTCTCCAGCTGCAGTGAAACTACAAATTCCATCATGCATCTGCCTCCGGGAGCCATGCCTGTGGCTCAGTGGCGTAACAATCAGCGACCCAGACGGCCGTTATGGGGCCTGGGGCACAGAGGGGCTCCGCCAGGACATCCCTGTTGTTGTTGTGGCTGCATGGGTCACTATAGCATGTCAGGCTGTTGGCCGTCACTGGCGGGTGTGAGGAGGAATGTGTCGCTGTTAGATCACTGACAACCTGTTTCAGCGACAGCCAGCAGCTGCGGCGGAGGATGCTGGGCCCGGCGTTAGCAGCGGAGGAGGCGGCGGGGCCCAGCGATGGAAGAGGCGGGGCTGGTGACATCAGATGAGGAGAGGCCGGCGATGGAAGGGGAGACAGAACCCAGCGTTGAAAGGGGAGACATGACCTGGGGATGGAAGGAGGAGGCGGCGGACAGCAGATCGGGGATGACAGGTAAGAGGTGTGCAGGGGTGTGACCAGCCCACCTGAGACCCTGCAGAGCCCACCTTAGAGACTCTATGGTGGACTCTGCAGGGTCACTCTCAGGTGAGCTGTTTGGGGTCTCAGGTGGGCTCTGCAAGGGGCGAAACTAAAAATCACAGGGCCCATACAAAATTTTGCTATGGGGCCCTGTGATTTCTAGTTACGCCCCTGCTGTGGATGTCAGAGTCTTGCAACGCATCATGGGAGAGGTAGTTGCACCACGGCTGGAGGGCTGGAGTTAGCCTACCTGTGTTCTATAGGCTTTACAAGAAGACAGTTTGAAGCTGAAAATAGGGATGTTCAGATACCAAGTACCATACTCAGTACAAGTACAGATACCTTTCCAGCTCCAAGACTAGACTAGAACAAAAGTTAGGAGGCAGCTGTCATTTGTAAGGAGCATACGGAGCTCCTGGAATTTGTACATCTCTCTTTCAATTCATCTTTTTTTTTTTTTTTCACAAGTACAAGTACTGATACATTTTTGTTTAGTGTCATGTGACAGTTTTTCTAAAATAAAATCAATCAGACTAATGATTTCAGGACAGTGGTGTAGCGCCAGGGCTAGGTCCCAGCTGCAACCACTGCAACCCTGGTAGTTCTCCTGAAAATGCCAAGTACAGGCTAATGATTTCAGGACAGTGGTGGAGCGCCAAAGCCAGGTCCCAGCTGCAACCCTGATAGTTCTCGTGAAAATGCCAAGTATCGGCTCTGGTATCCGAACATTCCTAGCTGAAACATATGCCCACCAGGGCCCATAGGAATTCAGAATCGAGACACAGCAGAGCTGCAGGCCGCCATATTACCAGGGACGCCTGAAGAGACCTTGGTCTGTCAAGCGTGATTGGGTGCAATATATAACCTGCAGAGCCCACAATCTGAATACAGAAAGAAATAATGGCACAGTTTTAATAAATTCTTAATTTATAAAGTGGTATCTTGAGTTGTAGTCAGTGGAGCAAAGCATGACTACTTTAATGCCTATGGGTGCTTATAACATTTAAATGGCAAACGTACAAAAAGCAATTCTTTTAATCTTTTAATGAGGATTGTAACCAAGTGTTTAGCACTCGTGTTGCCATCATTTCGTGCCTCTTAGTGTCAGTACCTATGGAAACCAGGTTGGATCATCAGCCACATGGCTGACAATCCACTCCAAAGTAGTAATTAACTGCAGACCACGAGCTGAACAACCTGACCTGTGTGTGCTGTAAAGACAAGGACATACAGGCTCTCACTTATCACCTTACTGTAGTAAGAAAATCCTCCGATTCCTACATTTCCAGTTCTACTAGAAACTCTGGCTCCACCATCACTATGCATCTACACAGTCAGCAAAAGCTGCTCACACTGGCACGCCAAGAAATACCACAGTCGTACATATCTCTGCCTGGAGCACTAGCAGGGTGGAAATTCCCATCCAAGTCAAAGCTGCAGAACATAAAAAGGGGTTTGCGCTGTAATCACTAGGAGGACACCGATGCCGACCTGTAAACAGGGGCCAAGGACACGCTGGGCTCTCTCCGTAATTATGGTTTACAAAAAACAAAGACATTCGCTTTTCTCAGCAATGTGGGGAAAAAACTGAAGTCATATTTCACTAAACACTGGGGGTCCCTTTTATAAAGAGCATATGTCTATAACACAATTCCTTCTATACAAGTCTGAGTCCCATCACATCATAATCTGGTGGGTTTTTGTTAACCGCTTGCTGTTTGGAGCAATTTCTTACTATTTGCACATACATGATAAAATATGATTTTTTGGCTAGAAAACAACTAGCAAACCCCAAACAATGATGTATGTTCTGAAAGCAGACACCCTGTAGAATAAAAAAATGCTACTTGCAATTAATGTAGCGCGGTATTTGCGCAAATGTTTATCAAACCGGCATTTTTAGGATAAAATACACAAAAATGAAATTTAAATGCACAGAAACAGAATATAACACCCAAATTTTTTGTAAAGTATAAAAGACGGGGTCAAGTCCGGTAAATAAATATCAAACATGTCAAGCCTCTAAATTGCGTTCGCCCGTAGGCTGCAAAAAACTTCAATGCCCTAAATTTCCCATAGGGGACATTATAAAAGATTTTACTGGATAAGTTTATGGTTAACAGTGATTGATGGCCCTAGAGTTTGAACGGTGCTCAGGAGACAAAATGCCGAACGGGCCGGTGTGCGCACGCACACACTGCCCGTCCAGCATTGCGGTCATCGGAAGCCTGCCCCTCAGGGGGGCGGGCTTGCGATCATCGAGAGTACGATCTGCCTGTCCAAGATGGGCAGATCGTACGTTTTTTTAATCACTTTACAACCATCGCAGTATCTTGTAGAGAATGATCCTTGATCCCCGTGGAAGCAGTGGTCTCTCCGCAGAGGTATGGCAACACCCCCTGCTCAGTCAGACCTACAGTCTGCATTCAGCATAACTCATGTTCCTTACGGATTGGAGAGCTCTAGCTCTGACTCAGCAGGGGGGGGGGGGGGGGAAAGGGGGTGTAGGACCTCTGCAGAGAGACAAATACTTACATACATAGAACAAAAGGTCCCTCTCTGCAGAATCCTTTTGCTTTGATGTACCTGAAATGTATTTAGTGGATTAAAACAGAAAGTTCAGTTTGGGATTTAAGGTTGAATACAAGCTGTTAGACAAGTTTGGAAAGGTTTTATTAGTGTTGTGGAATGCGTAGTGTTGTGTTTACTTTTTGTTTTTTTAAATCAAACGTAATAATTTATAATCATGAAAAAATTATTTATTGGAAGCAACTGTAATCCAGATTGCTATTTGGGAAATAATAAAAAAAAAAAAAAAAGGCACGGTTGTGGAACCATTAAAGGAAATTATTTGAAATGCAAAACTAAAAGTAAAAAAAACAAACACACAAAAATAGCAAAACCTGATGCATACACGGCCATCATAAAACGCAGCTGCATTTTGTGAAATGAATGTTTGAGAACACTGCTTGGGTTTGTATGTCATGTTTTGTGATGAACTTTACTATTTCCAGTCATTGTTGAGGACAATTAGAGTTTAAGCACAACAATTACTACGGCCTTTCATGAAAAGTCAAATGCAATCATTGTCTAGAATTAACCACTTAAAGCGAAACTAAACTCGGGAATTAAATCTTAAAAATAGATTCAAGTCCCTTAACTATTAACAGAAATGTATCTTATTTGTGTATCACTCGGCTGTAGATCCTCAAATCATCTCTGAATTGGTGCTGACACTGTCCTTCCTTCTGGAGGGGGGCTACTTTTATTCCCCATGGTCCTTGTGTGTGTTGTAAAGTAGTCACCGCTCCAAGCTCACTCCCGTGATGGACTACAATCTCATGTTTAGTTTACCAATCTGTATTGAGATTGTAGTCCATCACGGGAGCGAGCTTGGAGCTTTGGCGTGCACACAGGGGCCACACACACAGGGGCCATCGACTCTTGCCAAAGGAGCCGGGTGAAAAATCGATGGCCAAACAGTGACTGCACTCATTGGAGTTCATGGAGTGGTTATACCAAGCCAATGAGCTGCACTCACTGGAGTGCATGGAGTGGTTATACCAAGCCAATGAGCTGTACTCACTGGAGTGCATGCAGTGGTTATACCAAGTCAATGAGCTGTACTCACTGGAGTGCATGGAGTGGTTATACCAAGTCAATGAGCTGTACTCACTGGAGTGCATGGAGTGGTTATACCAAGCCAATGAGCTG